GTATATTACTAGACTAGAGGGTGTTTTCTTTTTCAAGAGGACTTGCAATGTTCTGAATTTCTTATTTGATCTCCTCTTGTCTTCCTCAAATGTTGATTCTTTATTGGAGATCCATACTCCATGCATGGAGTCAACTTTAAACCTTTCACCAATCCGGATTACATCAGTGGATTAATCAGCCTCTATAAATCAGGCTGTTCTTCTGTAATAACTGAGTTATTGTTTTCTGAAGTGATGCTTACAAAGATTTAAGCCCCATATCTAGGTTGCAGAACTTCCTTCACTAATCCATTCTGTGTCATGTGTGAGAGCAGAACAGTGTGTGTTTATAGCTTTTAGGTCAAACTGTGAAAAGCTTGTTTCTTTATTAATCCAGGTCGCTCCCACTGAGATGATAAAAGACCAGATTAGACTAATATGCTCCTGTTTTAGACAAACTTTTGATTTGAAACAAACAAACAAAAAGACAACAAAGAAATTGATACAAGCATAAAAAGGTTATAAGACTTTAATGTGAGAGCTTTTAAAGTTCAAATTTTGCAAACAGTGAATACTCTTTATCACTTTATGCAAAATCACAGCTAATTAAACAAATTCTTCAGAAAATTGATAACTAATTTTACAATATTAGATGTGTAAAATATAACTGAATATAGAAGTCAATGATCTGTAGAAGTGTTCCTGAACTCAGAACAGAACCAGACCAGGTTTTAATGTAGTGACCTCTGAGAGCACAAAGAATTTGGTGATCTAATATTAACTTTAACTTGGATGTTTCAAATCTTTCTAATTTTTTCTTGAGGCATATTATTGTCAGATTGGTTTACAATTTTTAGCTGTACAGATTTTTTGCAGACTTGTGACCCTCAGCTCATCTTTACTTCTGAAAAACTCAATCTCTTAAAAATGCTGTGTTTATGCTTTTTATGCTAAATGTATGTTGTACAGTATGTTGAAATATTTTATGTAATTATTAGATTTTATTGAAAAAAAGTGGGTTTATAAAATTTGCCAATCGTATTCTATTTTAATTCAGTTCAAAGTAAGCTTTCTAGTTTATATATTACTAATTATTATTATTACTTACTTATTATATTACTTATATATTATTTATATATTATATAGTTTTCTCAAAGGATTGTGTCAAAAATGAGCAACTTCCACTTTGGCATCCAGCTAGGTTGCTACATCAAAATTCCAAGATGGCTACCACTATATATATATATATATATATATATATATATATATATATA